AGCTACCACAGCTGTATTCTCACCAGGCTCCTTTCCCAGCTGCCTCCATACTCAGTATGGAGTACTGATACCTTCCACATACCAGTGTCCCACACTTCCATGTCTGCAGGTATATTTATGAGATACTGCTATAAAAAGTCTGTGACACCAGTCCTGATTTCCTTACTTCTTCTGGAGAACATTTGGGGTGAAAAGAACTGTGCAATTTGATGCCTCTGTGAGGAGAAATGCTGAAAGATGTTACTCAGCTGCCATCTTGCTCCCTTTTTTCCACTTGTTTTGCATTTGTTCAGCGTGTATAGCCTTGAGCTACAGTTTGGGAAAATCTTTCCTGAATTCTATGATTTATAGTTGGTTGGATGTTAGACCACTTGATTTGATCTCTGATTTTGTTACCTACTCTACTTGGTTTTACTTCCTGGGAGATTGAAAATGCTGTGTGGAGTAATGGTTAAGGACATTATGGAGCTAGGAGGCCTCTGTGAATTCTGTTGTGGCCAGTTTCTAGCTGTATAACCATATGCATTACTTATCCTTTCTGTTTTTCGTCTTTAAAATAAATGTTAGTTGTTATGGATTGGCATCAGTATTATCTCAAGTTAATTTTGAAATAGTATCAAATTTGGGGCTGGGGAGTTGCTCAAGTGAGGTCCTGAGCTTACACCATAGTACTGCCCAAAAAAATGAATTAGTATCAAAATTTTAATTTTTAAGATCTTTCTTTTGGTTCTCTGTTACTATATTGTAGCTTCCTGTTCTTGTTTCATGGATGCAATAACTTTAATAATGGAAACTAAAACAATAGAAACAACATCAAATAAATCAAAATCTTATAATATTCAGGACAGGATAGGGATTTGGCACTGTGGCATTTCCTTCTGTTTTCTGCATTGACTTTTGCATTTATTTGGTTTGGTGTCTCTTGTGTATAAGAAGCCTTTTCCAGACTTCCTTACGATTAAGTTCAAATTATATACAGAGGTATATCATGTTCTCAAATGTGTCACTAGAAAGTATGTGGTGCCAGTGTACCATTTTGTTTCTGATCCTAAGTTTGAACATTTTTTTAAGGTCAATGCCAGGCAGCTTTTTCATTGTAAAAGTATGGTTTTCTCTTTGTTAACTTAAGTGGACTTGGGTTGATACTTTTAGAATGCATAATTGTTTTAAAACTCAATATATTATAGTCTATGTATTATTAATTTTGGTCCTCAGATTGCTCACATTTGCCAAGAGTAGCCCTTTCAAGTTGACGGATTCCTTTTTGTATGTCTATATCTGTTTCAAAGTATTTACTTAATTTGGCACAAGACATCCTATGCTCACCTTTACTTCTCCTGTCCCAGAGCTAGAACCACCATTTTTCCAAGGAGCTGTGGTCCCTTTTTTTGCAGAAGAGACATAGAAGCCTGAGGTCTGAGGATACTGGGATGCATTCTGTCCCTTCAGTGCAGGGAGTGTGTATACTTTTTTTGTGTGTTTTGTATTTGATATATGGTTAGGTTAATTTTTTTTTATTTACATTTGATATTGGGTAAGGATTTTCCCCTAATCCTTGTTTATTTGTTTTTAGTTTTGAATTACAAATCATAAACATTGTTCAAAAGTAAAAAATTTTATTAAAAAGTATAGTAAGAATACCTTAAGTTTTATCACATTCTTGCCACATATTTGCTATCATGTATAGAAAACCCTAGTTTGAAGTTTGTCCTTTGTGTTTTTCCTTTTGCAGATATATACATATATACACATTTACTCTTTTTTCTTACACATTTGCTAGGATAGCATGTGCATTCCTGTGAACATTGCTTTTTTTATTTACTATATCCTGGATGTGATTTCATTTGAGTTTATAGAGATCTTCCTCATTTTTTTAACAGCTGCATAATACTTCATTAAGATTTCAGAATTTCAAATAGTGCTACAGGAAATTACTATGTGTGTTTTGTTTGGTTTTATTTTTCATTGTTGGGGGTATTTTCAGGGTGGGTTCTTAGAACTGGGTCAGAAACTATAGAGTTGGTTAAATATTGCCATATTACCCTTCTGTATAGATTGTACAATTTTGCAACCCTACCAGCAGTGTATGAAAGTGCTTGTTTGCCCCCAACCTCTCCAGTGGAGTATGATCCAGAGCTTTTTAGTTTTCCCCAATCTGGGATGAGAGGTGGTATCTCAGTGGAGATAAAGGAGAGCCTCTGGAGCTAAAACTGTCTTAACTACTCAATTTTCTAGTGAAATACAATGAGTTAGACACATGAGCTTTCTCCTTCCTGAACTCACTGGAGTGAGAATAAAGAAACAGTGTAATTTTTCATTTCTGTTTAAGGACTTTTGCCCGTTTTTCTAGCAGTATTTGGTTTTATTTTTGTCAATTTTAAGAGTTATTTGTTAAGGATATTGTCCTTTTTTATTACTATTATTTTTATTTTTTTTCCTGAGACAGAGTCCTACTGCATAGCCTAGGCTATCCTGGAACTCATGGGAACTATGTAACCCGTGATGCCCTCAAGCTTGCAGTCTTCCTGTTTGTTCCTCCCAAGTGTGTGCTACCACATATAGCTGTCCTTCCATTTTTGATATATATTGCAATTTTTTTTTGCATTAGTCTTTTGGATTTTCTTCTGGTATATTTCACCATAATAATTTTTTTCTTTTATTGTGTTGTTGCTTAAGAGAAAGACCCTACAGAGCTGATGGGAAACTTGTGTGTAAGACAGGGCTTATCTGGGCAAGGAACCTTGATGTTTCATTGTATGAGACTTTTTCTTTAGAGAAGAACCTACCATTTTTCTTAACAGGTAGATGAAGGTTGTGGGGAGGGGTCTTTTTCAGTATGCAGATCTTCATTTGTTCCTGCTTTCTTAGCTGCTTACTGTTACGCCTGACATCTTTAGTTCTTTTTCCACAATAAATCTCATTTTCTTGCTCTAGTAAGGCAATGGGAACTGTTCAGTTGTATATCATGGATTGGTGGCCTAGAGATCTGTTTTCAATAAGTTTTTTAGCCTCATGCATCACTGTTGTTTTGGGAAATCTTGGGACATATTGGGATGTCATTATCCATCTTGATGGGTCCCTGAGTCCTATGATTCTCAAAGGACTCTTTTTTTTTTTTTTTGTAATTTTCAAAAAATTAAAGTAAATACACTTCTATTCCTTTATTTTAAGTTCATTCAATATAGTTTTTCAAATGTTCAAAATCATGTTTCATGAAGGAAATGGAATACCTGAATGAATAGCCATCCTAAACCCTTTCGTAATCCTCATAAAGTTGTGCATGAGGAAGGATTTCTAGTCTGGTTCATTAGGTTGCCAGTGACTTTCACATCATGACAAAGGGAAGACAGTCCTTGTAAGAACATTCATGTACTAGAGAGAATGCAGAATGTCTCTTTCACCGTTGAAATGACATGGCATTGCAGTACGTCTGCTTCTCTCCACACGTCTGTTACATGATGTCCATATGCACCACTTTTCCTGTGCTTGTCTACAGTTTTTGTTCTCTTGTAAGTTCAACCATCATGAACACTCCACTTCAGCTTTTTACCACTGGCCAGTATAATCTTTGACTGTTTCTTACAGTTCCAAGAAAACTGATGGTCCCAGCTCATTGTTCCACGTTTGATTTGCCCCTAGGCAAACTACAGATTGGCTGTCTGGGATCAAAGTCTTCCAGCTCTGCTTAAGTACCGAGGATGTCAGGGATGGAGGGAGTACCGGGCCAGCAGGAAAACACAGTCTATGTGATGACGGCCTAAGTAGTGGGACAGTTGCCTTTTTGAGTAAGGGGGCAGGACAGAGCAGAATACTTAACATATTTTCTCACTTCATATGCTGGTTTGTTTTTAATGGAGTACTTCAAGCAAATGTTAGTGCAGATTGAATATTGCATTTAAATATAATAGGAATTTTTAAATGTCAAAATTGACTGTAAAAATCTATACTGGTTTCATGCTATTTCTGTTCACATTATGACTTTAGTGGCAGGATGTTACAGAAAGACCACTGTATTAGTCAGCTTTTCATTACTATAACAAAATTCCCAAGGCTGAGTAATTAAATTTTAAAAAAGGCTTCTTTAGTTCACAGTTCTGGAAATTGAAGGCATCGTGCTGGCATCAGTTTGGCTCTGATGAAGGCCTTATTGTAGGTGACACCACATCAGCAGGTGGGGATGAGAGATCACATTGCCAAACAGAAAGCCAGAAAACCATTAAGGGGTCACACTGATACATCTTGTAACAACTTGCTTTCCACGAGAACTCTAAAGTCCCAGGAGGATACTTTAGTTCCTTTGGAGAGCATGCTCTGGTAACCTAATGACCTCCCAGTAGGCCTGACCTCTTAAAGTTACTATTACCTCACCACCACTAAACTGGTGATAAAACTTCCAACACAGGAACTTTTGGGTGACAAACTAAAACTATATTAAACCATAGCAACCACCAGTACAGACACCAGGAGTCTCAGATTGTAGACCTCTAGAAGCAGAAACTGTATAAACATGTTTTTGCTATTCTGAAAGCCTTCACATTCTTTATCAGATACATTTTAAAAATAGTGATTGGACAGAACAGATTCTAAGGTATGGTGTAGCTATAAAACCTATGACTTACAGTATGCTATACAAAAGTAGAAAAGGTAATTTCCACAAGGATAGTCAGGATAGGAAGATATTCTCTCTCTCTCTCTCTCTCTCTCTCTCTCTCTCTCTATATATATATATATATATATGAGATCGTATGGAATAGATTAGTGTAAAAAGTCAGAAATAAGAATGACTAGATCAGTATTACATTAGGAATAAATGTGGAAGTTTTGTAGAACACACCCTTCTCATGTGAACGTGTTTGTTTGATGATGGAATAATCTTCATAAATTGATTTAACTCAGATACTATAGTCACAAACTTTTCCCCAACTCAAGTCATTGTAAGTATAATGTTAAAGTTGGATATTCAGAATAGTTAAGTAACTTGGGTTTCTTTTATTTTTTAGGATTTAAGTGTCCTGTATGCTCAAAATTTGTACCCTCAGATGAAATGGATTTGCATCTTGTCATGTGTTTAACAAAGCCAAGAATAACCTATAATGGTAAGTCCAAAGCCTTAAAGTATTATTTTAAATTAGAATTACCTTAACTTTTTGTGAATTTCATGTTTCAAATAAAATTTAAACGATACAGAAGGACCTTGTTTCTTCTCTATCTTCGCTAGTTCCTTAAAGTGTCTTTCTTAAACTGGAGATTTTTTTTTATTAGATTATATCTGTCAACAGTGTCATTATTAACATTAACTCATTTAAATATAATATGCTTATGTTGATGTGGTATTTAAGTGAAAAACAGTAAAACTTCTAAGACAAATATTTAGTGGCATGAGTGGCATTGCACTGTATTTTTGTAAACTCTTTGATACCTGGCTGATTACAAAGAACTCTCGCATCTTTTCTTCGTTTAATTTCTTGTGATATGGCACTTCACATGTGCTAGAAAACTCCACTGGTATACTGGAAAAAATGGGAATGGAAAAAGCATCTTACTGTTACTATAAAAATAATTTCTACCTTGTTAAACTAAAAGGATCTTAAAGACTCCTTCACTTCCCCTAACCCAGATTCTTTGGATCACACTTTGAGAACTGCTGCATTGGTCAGGCCTCAGTAAAAAGTAATGTTTGTAATGGCCATTTACAAAAGTAAGCATATACATGGTTAAAATAGCAAGTTTTTTCTTTTTCTTAAAAGTATATAATAAATGGTACATATTAAAGAGTAGAGAATAAAGTTTTATCTAATGAATATAGTAAATAGATAGCTAATGGAAGAAAAAAAATGCTTGAAAGAGAGATTAGAATTTGACCTATGCCTTGCATGTCTGTCTCTGTCTTTCTCCCTATTCTGTGACACTAAATGGCAGTTTAATTAGGTTTGGCACTTTGGAGTATGCTGTTCTTTCCTGACCAAAAATCTTTAGTTGCTTAAGACCCAAGAGAGGTATTCAGTGTAATCTTAGCCTACTTTGGAATCCTTCAAATTTGAAAAAAAAAAGCTCAAATAGTTCTTTCTTGATTAGTAAATAAAGAATAAAGGAAAAGTGAAAGCTTTTCCCCAAAATTTTACAGAAAAACTTCAAGCCAGGCATAGTGGTAAATGCTTGTTATCCTAGCGTACAGGAGTCTGAGGCAGGAGTATCTTGAGCTGTAGGCCTGGGCTACATAGCAAGAACTTGTCTCAAAAACTAACAAACAAAAAATAAACAGATTTCAAGGGGTATGATGGTACATGCCTGAAATCCTAATACTGGGGAGACTAATGCAGAAGGCCTGCCTAGGCTACATAGAATCTATCTTAAAAAAAAGTTTAAAGACTAAAAATAAATAAAAAGGAATTTAGATCTTAGTTACTAGCTGTGTGACTTTTTTTTTAAAAATTCTTTTTCCAGAAGCTTGAAAGAACTTTTATATTTTTAAAATTTTGGTTTGAATAAAATGAGTAAAAAGAGTAAACACTGAAAACAACAGATTGGCTGGATTCAACAAATATCTTTTGAGCACCTATTATATATTAGATACTCTGTTAAGAACTGGGGATAGAGCAATTAATAAAATGGAGGTGCAGTTTACAGCTTATGATAGTCATTAATGTCTGTGAGTTAAGATTTATTGGTTAAATAAAATACTACAAGAAAGACAGTAAATATACTAGCACTTTGTTAATCAGATTTCTCAGGTAACAAAACTGTTGGGAGGTATAGAATTTAACACTGATATGAGCATACTCTTGTGATAACTTTTTGCAAATTGATTTAGAAATCAACTCCCCAAAGGTAGTGAATGTTTTAGCACTACTATAGTGGTGCCATTCATTTGTCAATGAATACAGGAAAGTGACTTTTAGCAATCATTTTGAGTAGTAAATGTATAATTTGTATCTATATCCTAACCTTTTTGAATTTTGAAATTAGCTACTTTGCATAATCTAGATGACATGTTTAAAAAGAAAGATGGCCAACACAAGAATGCTTGTAGGCAGAGAATTTAGTATTATAATGAGCAAAATTTATGAATCAGAATGCCTGGGTTATTGTAGCAGGTTTCTCTACATTCCTCCAAGAATTCTGGCTGAAACAAAAAGGAAGAACTTTGAAAGCATAATAACTTTGTTTTGAAGGGGCAGCAGCTTTCCAGGAAGTAAGTGTAGCAGTTTACTAAAGTGCCTGCCCTGCTTTGTGGAGAGCAAAAGAACCAATATATAACTTTCTACCTGGGAATACTGTAAATCAAAGATTTAAGTTTTAAATATTTAATAGTATTTTAATTCCAAAATAATAAATTTCATATAAAAAGTAAACTTAATACAGTTGCAGCTTCTGGGTGTGGTGGTGTACACTTATAATCCCTGCACTCAAGAGATAAGAGGCAGGAGGATTGATCAGTAAGTTTGAGGCCAACCTGAGCTGCATAGGGAGATCCTGTCTCAAAAAACAAAAACAAAAAAGTTGCAGCCATTCTTAAAGTAGCTACACCTAAATCTTCTACAATTTTAAGTGTATATTGATTGACTGTCTAAGTCTTCACGAGAAGAAGCAAAAAAAAAAAACCTTCATAAAATTTATATATAGTTTTTGAAGTTTTAAAACTAGCCCTTATACAGTAGTCACATAGGAGTAAGCTGAGGAAAGGAGCTTTGACTGGATTTACGGGGGAGAGGGGTTACAGAGAGGTGGCAGACTGATGATGTGCCTTCCTATGACAGGTGAGAGGCATTCCAAAACTCCCTTGTTTTAAGGGCAGAGCCCTTTGGATGCCATTTCTCCCATTGGTGTTGACTTCATATGAAAATGGCCTCTTTGGGCAGAACAGGTTCTGCCTGGAAGCTAAGGGGGGAAGGGAGAAACAGGGGAGGGGACAGGGAGAAGAAATAGCCCAAATGATGTATGCACATATGAATAAATAAAAAATAAATAAATTATAAAAAGGAAAAAAAAGAAAATGGCCTTTTTAATGCCTAAGCAAAGCATGTGGTATTATTATTCTAAAGTTTAGAACAAGATGAGTTAGAGAATCTCTGATGCTGAATCTTTTTTAGTCACCTGGAATCCTTACAGTTTTGTATTTGAATTCCTAAATATTGTTTCTCAATCAGATTGGGCTTCTACATTGTGTTAATGTTCAATTTACATGTTTTATAGCCCCTGTTGAAGTAGCTAGATAAGAAAATTTCTTTGTGAAGTATATATTAATTTATAAGCCTTCATAATTAGCAGCTAGAGAGAATAGTTGAACCTGTTTCCAGGCTACCTGTATTTATAGACAAACTGCCAGATAGGATGAGTTCCAGAAATTTGAATATGACTTGTTGATTGGGAGTTTCAGATTCATTCTCACAGAGATAATACTTTAAATCTTTGTTTAACATTTAAAGTAACTTACAACTTTTATTTTAAAATCCATAATATGTCTGAGTATCCAAATCCTAGTATCTAAAGAGGAAAATCAGCTGGCTAGGTAGAAGCTGTCTAGGTTTAGCAGAGGATCAGGTTGGAGGCTCAAAGCACTAATGGCAGAGAAGGATTGTGAACAATGTGGACATTGCTCTCTCTTCTATTTTGGCAGAGTGGGAAAAATTGAGAATGCCACAGTGAGTATTCATGAACATAGATGCTCTTAAGTTGAGTCAGGAACGGCCGTGTCATCACATATGTGCCCTCTTTCATGTGCTTTTTGTGCTTCATTGCTTATCTTATGGATGTAGTCAGTTCTTTTGTAGTTTCTGAGCTGAATACAAGTTTTACAGTGTAGAGTCTGTCACTTCCTTATGCATTATCTTTGAAAGTGTTTCAGAGCAAGCTAAAAACTGAATTAATATTATTAGCACATGCTTAGCCTTGCTTATATGGGTCTTCAAACTACATTGGGTTGTACTATATTTTGAGTGAAGTTCAGTTTTTACTTTAGAATTCTCCAAAGCAGTAAAGTTGGTTTGTTTAATTTTAATTGTTATTATTATTATTTTTGCAATGGTAGGGATCAAACCCAGGGTGTTGTGTGCATGTTAGGCAAGTGCTCTGTCACCACTGAGCTGTCCTCCAGCTCTTTCATGCATAGTTCTTTACAGGCGAGGAATGCTAACTAAAGAAGAGACCTGCTGTTACTAAGAAAGATTTCCTTTGACTTTGAGAGGTAAATATATAGTATGAATGCTATTACTTAACAAATTCTTTTGATATCATTGTCATAGTTCATAGTTGTTTAATCCCAAATTAGAAGTCTAAAGTCTTACATGACAATATAGTTGTATAATAAATAAAGGGGTAAGGGATGGGAGGATTCCTGCTGTCATATGATTTGACATTTTAAAGCTGCTGTTTAATGGAAAATGTTCTACTTTTTATGACCAAACATGGTCTATTCAGTAAGAATCTGAACTTTAAATGTGATGACAGGTAGATTACTTACTGGAATCCTAGGAGAAATTCATCTACATTTCTAATTTGTATAGAAAAATAAATGCTGTAAAAAGCTGACTCTACCTGGATAAATGTGATTGTGTTAGAATGCATTCTGTATGGATTATTATAAGAGAGATGAATGTAAACAAAATTACCTAAGTGAGAAAGAAGGAAGTTCTGCTAGATCTCAAAGGCATGAAGTTGGTTTCAGACTGTATTTCTTATTTCACTAATAATATTTGAGGATCAGGTGTGGTGGTACATACTTTTTAATACCAGCTACTCAACTGAGTTTCAGAATGAAAAAGGACTGGGTATGTAGCTGAGTATTAAAGCAGGGCCTAATGTGCATAAAGCCCTGGGTTCAGTACCCAGCTCAGGAAAAAAAAATATTTTTTTAGAAGAAAAAATAACACCTTTCCTCATTATTTGGTGATTTTTCTTTTTTTTTTTTTTTTTTAATGAGACAGGGTTTCAGTGTATTATTGCCCAGACTGACTTTGAACTCCTGGACTCAAATGCCTTTTTTATTTTTATAATTCCAGCATTCCAAGTACATTAACTTTAAGTTTAAGAAAAAAATCAGAATGAAACAAAGCAGTGCAAGAGAATACAGGAAACAACATAGTTGCTCTCAAAGCAA